AGTTTGATCCATAATAAAAATAAATAAAAATGTGCTTGTGGTGGTTCAAAGGGAATAAAAAAAAGATTTTAAAGCAATTACTTGGAATTATATCTTGTGCTTCAACTTTCGTATATAGAAAAAGGAAAATTATCTGCAGACGTTCTTCGCACTTCTGTCCTAACTGCAACTTCTTGTGAATCACTTCTATTTGAACATAATATTTTGTGAAGCTTTCTCAACATCAATTTTAGTGAAGTTTTATCAGCTAGTTCTGAGTACTGTAGTGCAAGGAATGGTCCATTCTGAGTTGAAAAAGGCAAGAAGACTTCATGAACTGGCTCCTTATTAATGTGGTAGTTTGAGAAAGAAAACTGGGAATTGAAGTTGAACCTTGCTTGGTGTGCAGGGAAAGTGCAGCAAAGGGAGAATGTGGCATCATTCCATTGGACATTGATTTTAAAAAAAAAAAATGAAGGGAAAATTCAAGTACATAGGTGTGCTGCCAATGCAGCACCTGTTCAGCCCCTGTAGGATGTTCTCTCCCCCTGTAAATTTATCCGAAACTGGAGGCAATTTTTTTTGGACGCTTCTACACGTACAGTAAGATTTTTTTTTTTTTTTTTTTTTTGGACCCACACACTTGTCTCTAATCTGGTGGAATTCTGTGAAAAAAATTCTGTATGACCAATTTTTTCCTTTTTTTTTTTTTAACTAAAAGTTTGTTAAAAGTAATAACTTTCTGGATTTACTTCACATTGTAATCATACATTATCTGTCAAAGGTACTTGAAACAGAACTTCCTCATTTTGAGATGTAAAATACAGTAAATAGTACATGCCACGTGAAATTCTCAAATTCAATATACTTGGGCATGCTTGGTACTTAGTAGTTGATGGTATAGAACAGTAGTATATAAGCTGCAGAATCTTGATAGTTGTTCTATGAGGCCTTGTTTTTCTTCCTCAACTAAGAAAGGGAATCCGATAAACTCGGCTAGTTTCTGTATAAAGAACACTATATTGTCTTTCAGATCCTCGTATCTCAGAAACAACACCTTCCTTAGGCTGTTCAAGCTCGCATAGTCGCATTCCAATATCACATCATATCCTCCAAAAAGGGCCGAAAGTGTGAACACCTTTGCAGAACATTTCAAAGGCTTCATCAATGGCAAGTGGCTCTTAGTCTTTTCTCCTGTTCGCAACCTCAAAATACCTGTGAGAGATGAATTGATCCAAGGCGTTCCTACACATGTAGACAGACTTTGTTTGAAGAATGGTATTAGGAAGCAAATCGTAAGGCATGTGAGATAAAAACATTCTTGGACTTGGAATGCTCACAAGATCGGGACTTTCATTGTCACGATAAACATTCAACTCGAGGATCGATCAATGGTATAATTATTGCGATTGCATCTAAAAAAGGGGGCTTTCATCCAAGCAGCTCCTGATTTATGCCAATAGTATATTAGTGTCGTGTTCATTGAAGTGTTTCTGGGTGGATACTGTTATTCAACTCGAGGATCAATCAATGGTATAATTATTGCGATTGCATCTAAAAAAGGGGGCTTTTATCCAAGCGGCTCCTGATTTATGCCAATAGTATATTAGTTCGTGTTCATTGTAGTGTTTCTGGGGGGATACTGTTATTAGTGTCATGTTCATTTAAGTGTTTCTGGGTGGATACTGTAGGCCGGAACCATCTTATCAGACAACAAAAACCTTTTTACCTACCGACACAGGCAATGACCATTCCGGTTTCTCTATCGTGGAAGTCTTAGCATGAACTCTTGGAATACATCCCTTACTTAACATGGGCATCGATTTTCACCATATGGAAGGAAGATATCAAGAAAATTCGATGTTATATATGAACCACTGCAATGTGGGATTGCTTAAAAACTATGAGATGTAATGCTATATACCAAACAGTGCTTAAGATGAAAAAAAAGATACCCACAAGCCATGCTTGCATTTTTCATTGTGGTAAAATGCGTGCCCGTAACCCAGCAAAAAGAGAAGCAATCAAGAATCTCATCGTCTCTTCGGTAGGCCAACCGATCGAGTTGGGCTGGACGTCCATGTCACAGAACCTTTCTCTAGGAATATGAATTTTTTGGGCCAAGTAATTGGGATCCTTATGAATTGAAGGTTTGTATTGCTACCAAGCTCGGAAAGCTACTTATTATGCTTGTTTAGATATCATTATAAGTTATATAAATTATAATATGATAGAAATGAGTGGTGAATATTAGTCATGGGTCGTACAAAATGCTTTGTCAAAATTAAAGTTTGACTTTGACTTTTAAATTATAAGGAGATTATAATGAAATATCCAAACAAGTACACGTTTGGCAGAGATTATAATGAAAATTAATAATGTATCTAACGAAATGTGTGGATAATAAACGACTAATAGTTGTGAACAAGGGGTCAAAATTAATAGTTTGACCTTAACATTGATTGCAAACTATAATGAGAGTATTTTTTTACGAACAAGCACCTGAAATGTGTTACTTCTCATTTGTCCCTTACCTGTGTACCTTCCGTAAGATACCCAATATCTGACCTTAAAATTTTTCCCCTTCTTTCCTCTCTACCTCTGTATTTGAAAACCTTAAAAGCAGAAAAAGTTAATAAGAAATACACAGTCAGATCGTCACGCAATTTGGTGTTATATACAAGATAAATAACTGGAAAATATCGCAAGGCCTGACATTGGGGTTTTATGATGCATAATATTCCCGAAAACAAGAGAAAAATACGCACCTGTATATCAAGTGACACTGTGACAGCAGTGTGAGATAGCGGACATCTCTCACCATTTTCTTTATTTCCCATGCTCCGTGCGTGCGTGCATGTGTACGTTAAAAATCTCAAAGAAATAAAGAAGAATCTAACCATGGTCCAGAATCCCATTCTTATTTTTACTTCATACAAGTGATGTTTGCTAACAAATTGACTGATTTATTTGATCAAGCTGATTCTTCGTTACTTTAACTTCATTGTGTTCCATTAAGGCAGATAATCAGCTACAAGAGATCAGTTCATATGTCAATCAGCAAGAACCTCAAGTACACACAGCGTACATGTTTATCACAGCTCTTTCTACAGGAATAAAGAGGGCCTCCATTCTTTAAATGAATATGGTCAAACTGATGAAATCATCTCAACTCCTTCCCCTCAAACAATGATCAAGCAGGAAGAAAAAAAATTATATTCAGGTTCAAAAACAGATATGTTACACTATCATAAGCATGGACAAATGGCTATCTGATAATCTACCATAAGCAATAGAAATAAGGCTAAAATTTTGCCAGGATTTATAGTGCAAATTGAAACCAATATCGCAGATCTACTAAAAAGGATGTAAGTGATACTAGATGCTGGCTTACCAGATATAAGAAGTCAGACAGTCTTCTTGTAGTTGGATGTTGCACGTCCATGAAATCCCAAAATAAATAGATCTACTTGTCATAATTTCGAACACTACTAAAAATGCTTCATCAAAAACAGCAATTAGATATTAACTTGCTTAGGCAGTATAGGAAAACGCATTTAAACTTTTGAGAATATAGTTCCAACGGAAGATATTTTCGTACTAGATTTCTGGACAATTGATAATTATTTGTCACTGTGACACATGGTACAAACCAAATAGCAGCTGCACTAATGTTAGAACACATAGTTCTTCTATCGAACCATATAAGTCTAGTTTTTAGCTATGACGCATGGTACAAACCAAATAGCAGCTGCACTAATGTTAGAACACATAGTTCTTCTATCAAACTATATAAGTCTAGTTATCCATATAAGTCTAGTTTTTAGCTTACCCATTACATGTGTATTAGAGCTTCAAGTAGTCAGCAGTTCTTTGTCCTCTTAATATTGTTCAAATGAAGCACCATTAAATATAAACAGGAGCAAATCTTATTTATTGATTAGTGAACATTCCGTATCTAAGTGTGCTGCATGTGCAGGAAATACAACAAGTTAGGAAAAGAAACCACAACTTTGAGTTTTGTTCGGTAGCAAGTTACCCTTTCATAAACTGTTCTTGCTGTTTACCAACAATCTATATTGCATTTTTTACATGGTAAGACAATACAGCTTTAATAGCACAAAGATGTTACACTACTGAATCTTGATGACATACTTTACAGCAATTAAATATACAAAGTCTATGGACCATAGTTTGAGGCCTCGAGTCACCTTAATATGATGGAGCGTTGCCATAAGCTTTATAAAGCACGATAGCAGTCATATAGTCACTGTTTCAGATATACACAGACTCTAGCATCTGCCTTAAATGGCATGAAATGGACCCATCCTCTCCACATAGCGAGTCCAATAAGGGTTAATCAACCCTGCAGGTGAAATTTCAGATGAATGAGTTTATAAGTATATTGTAATAAAAAGTTAGGGTTTCAACTCCTTTTGTGTGCAGTGAGATGCTGTTATTTAAGTATGAACACATGGAGAACGTATAAGCAAATATTCACACAAAAAAAAATTATACCCGTCACTTAGATACACATAAAGATCTGTATTATGACTTCTATACCTGTGTCTTGCCCAATAAGGGTTAATCAACCCTGCAGGTGAAATTTCAGATGAATGAGTTTATAAGTATATTGTAATAAAAAGTTAGGGTTTCAATATATATATATATATATATATATATATACCCGTCACTTAGATACACATAAAGATCTGTATTATGACTTCTATACCTGTGTCTTGTCTTGTATCCAAACGTAACTTTCAGGATAAGCATTCTCAACAACCTGTAGAGCCAATGTTAATTTGGAAGCTGTTCAAATGTCCCAGTATTGGGGCTACAGCCCCCAACCATCATCTCCTCATACACTGCATATGCACGATCAGGATTTCCCGAGATGCTATATCCTCGAATGAGAGCATTATATGTAAAAACATTGGGTTTAAGACCCATGAGCTGGAGTTCCTTGTACATGTTTCCTGCTTCCTCTATCATTCCAGCAATTCCAAGATTGTGTATTAAAGAATTGTAAGTATAAAGGTTAGGAGTGACTCCTCTGCTTCTCATTTCATCAAAAAGAGACAGAGCTTCCTTGAATTTTCCAGATTTGCCAAGCCCATTGATGATAAGATTGTAAGAAATTAAATCAGGATCAAGACCAGTAGACTTCAATTCCTCAAAGTAGTGCATGGCTGTTTCCACCTTACCCAACATGCAAAAGCAATCAACAAGAACAGTGTAGGTTTTCAAATCTGGTCTTATCCCCTCTGTAACCATTCTATCAAACAACTGCCTAGAAGTTTCCACATCACCAGTTTTCCCAAACCCATTTATAAGGATATTGTAGATAGCACAGTTAGGTTTGCATCCATACTCCCTCATCTCCTCAAACAATTTCTTTGCCTCATCCAATTTCTTGAGCTTCAAAAGACCATCTATAAGGGGACCATATGTACACGGAGTGGGAGAAAAGCCTCCACTTATTAAATCATAGTACAGATCTATGGCTTTCTCTATGCTCTTAGACTTTACAAGACCAAAAATCTGTATATTGTGAGTTATGGTGTTAGGCTTACAGCCTCTATGAAGCATCTCATTGTACAGCTCAAAAAGTTCATGGATCTTCCTAGACTTCCCAAGATCAGCAAGCAACAAATTGTAGGTTGAGACATCTGCAGCATAACCAGCATTCTTCATCTCTTTATACACATCCCAAGCCAGTTGTTTATGATGAATATCAAGAAGCCCATCGATCAAATGATAATATGCTTGTACTGTTGCTTTAATGCCAAAGGATTTCGTGAATTTCTCAAACAGTCTGTGAGCATCTAGGGCTTTCTTTTGATTAGACAAAGTTTTGATAAGAGGCACCACAATTGAGTCATTTTTGCAAAGGCCAACAGATGCTAATCCTTCTGCAAAGGAAATAGAATGACTCAACTCTGCTTCATTTAGAATTCCATTCATTAGATTTTCCCAAAAAGATCTATCTGATTTAATTTTAACCCGAAAAGCAAAGTCCTCAACAATTTTAAATGCATCCTTGATTGAACCATTTTTCACAACAACAGGGAGAAGAGTGTATAGTGTTACACAGTCAGGATGAATCGTTTTTCTCATCTGATGGAAAAACCAAAATGCTTCATTGACCCTATTCTCCTTAGCGAACCCATAGATGACTGTGTTATATGTAAAAACGTCAGGGAGGCAATCCATATCTGTCATTGAGTAAAGCATCTTCACAGCCAAATCCACCTTATCATTCTTGCAAAGGCAATCCAGAAGTGTATTAAAAGTTATTGTGTTTGGAAGGCAACCATGCTTAGTCATGTTCTTAAATAACTTGAAGGCATCTTGAACTTGGCCCTCCTTCCCCAATCCAGCCAATAAGGTGTTGTAAGTGACAACTGTAGGAACAAGGTTTAGTTCCTTCATTTTGCAAAACATTTTCCAGGCCTCATTAGACCGATCAGCCTTGTAAAGTGTGTCAATCAAGGAGTTGATGACAATCACATCAGGACGACAGCCACTTTCAATCATTTCAGAAAGCAACTTAACGGCTTCATCAATTTTCCCTGCATTACTATAGCACTTCATCATCATGTTGTAGGTTATAGAATCTGGTACAAGCCCACTCTGTTTAATACCATCAAAAATTCTTTTTGCCTCTCCAAGCCTACCGACTTCTGCAAGGCTATACAATGATGCATTGCAGGCAACAACAGTTGGAACAACTCCCCGAGCTTTCATCTTCTCATATGTTTCAAGAGCTTTGTCAGTTTCTCCTAATTTTCCATAGTAGTCAATAAACAGGATATATGTGTACGCGCTCTGTTCAATACCAAGCGATTCCATGCTATTGCATAGCTGTAATGCTTCATCCAATTTATTTAGTCTCAAAAGTCCACAAATCAAAGTATTATAAGTCTGAAGATTTGGCAAGATCCCTTTATCTTTCATTTCATTTAATGTTGAAAAAGCTTCATCAACTTTCCCAACCTTGAACAAGGCATCAATGAGTATGGTGAAAGTAACAACATCTGCTTTATGACCATCAGCCTCCATCATGCCCCAGAATTCCCTCACTGAGTCCAAGTCTCTACTGTCACTAAATTTGTCTAGCAAAGTTATGTAAGTAACTCGGTCAGGTTTATGTCTACCATATTTCATCTTCCTGAACACTTCTTTAGCAGTATCAAGTTTGCCAGCATTACAAAGAGCATCAATGAGAACCGTGTAAGTAACCACGTCCGGAGCACATCCCTCATCATCCATCCTCTTCATTATACTGCAAGCCTCATCAATTTTTCCAGCTCGTCCTAGCACTCTGATGCAGATTGTGAAGGTGTAAACATTTGGCCTCAATCCTAAATTTTTCATGTCTTGTAACAAATTCATGACTGTTTCAGTATCCCTTCTCTTACCACTTGCTACCATCAGGGCAGAATAGGTCTTAAGACTGGGCTTAATATATTCTGAGACCATTCTTCTATATACCTCTAAAGCCTCCCTCCAAAACCCCGCTTGAAGAAGCAAATGTATCAATCCATTGTAGGAATATGCATTCAAAATAAACCCAGCTTTTCTCATTTTTCCAAGCGCAAATGGTGCTTGCCGAGCTCCCCCTCTTATGCTTAGGCCTTTAAATATAATTAAGTATGTATCTAAATTCCTATATATAATCTGTTTTTGCATCAAATCAAACACTGTCACCATATCATCCACGCACCCATGTAACCTAAAAAGCTCAAGCATAT